ACAGATTCCGGTAGCGGATGAGTGTAAGCATTACTTGACAATAAACACTCACAAGGGATTGTTCCGATATAACCGACTTCCTTTTGGAGTAAAGACCGCCCCTTCAATCTTCCAACAAGTTATGGACACTATGTTACAAGACATTCCTGGTACCGCGGCTTATCTCGATGATATATTGATCATGGGTACAGACTATGCTGATTTAGAGAATAAGGTGGATACGGTTCTCAGACGCATAGCAGATTATGGATTCAGGCTGCGTGCCGAAAAATGTGATTTTTACATGGAGCAAGTCCGGTATTTGGGATTCATAATTGATAAAAACGGGAGAAAACCTGATCCTGAAAATGTCGAAGCCATTAAGTCCATGCCTCCACCCACGGATGTGTCAACTTTACGTTCTTTCCTGGGAATGGTTAGTCATTATGGAGTTTTTCTGCCAGATCTGCATCGCCATCGTGCTCCTCTTAATTGCTTATTGAAAAAGGATACTAAATGGTTCTGGTCAACTGAATGTCAAGAAGCATTCCTAAAACTGAAGCAGCTTCTGTCATCGAACCTTCTCCTTACACACTATGATCCCGATCTTCCAATTATAGTCGCAGCCGATGCGTCGAACTACGGAATTGGAGCAGTAATTTCACATGCCTACCCTGACGGTTCTGAGAAAGCAATCGCTCACGCTGCGAGATCACTGACTATGACTGAAAGAAACTACAGTCAAATAGAGAAGGAAGCCCTCGCGATTATATTTGCTGTAAAAAAGTTCCACAAGATGTTGTTTGGTAGGCAGTTCACCTTACTTACAGACCATAAACCTTTACTGACAGTTTTTGGATCTAAAAAAGGCATCCCGGTATATACAGCAAACCGGCTACAGAGATGGGCTACCACACTGCTGGGTTATGATTTTAAGATAAAGTATCAACCAACAACGGATTTCGGACAGGCAGATGCACTCTCAAGATTGATTGGTCTGCATGAAAAACAAGAAGAAGAGGTGCTTGTAGCTGCTATAGATGTCGAGGCCGAGGTTCACAAAATATTGTCAGACGCAGTTTCCGGACTCCCGGTCACATTTGAAGCCATTAAAGAGGCCAGCAAGAAGGATAATGTATTAAAGATTGTTCGCCATTGCATACTCAATAAATGGCCTTCATCTAGATTACACGGAGAACTCTTACAATACTTTCGTCGACGAGAGTCATTAACAGTTGTCGATTCATGTATAATGTTTGGCCATCGTATCGTTATCCCCAGAAATCTTCGACACCAAGCCATTAAACAGTTCCACAGCGGGCATCCAGGGATAAGTAAAATGAAGTCACTAGCTCGTAGCTATGCTTACTGGCCGTCAATGGACCATGAGATAGAGCAAAAATGTCGCAGCTGTTGGTCTTGTCAAGAGGCTGCAAAGAACCCAACGAGAGCTGAGCCACAACCATGGCCTAAACCGGACGGGCCTTGGCAAAGAATACATGCTGATTTCGCCGGACCGATACAAGGCAGGAATTACTTAGTTGTTGTAGATGCTTTCACAAAATGGCCGGAAGTTTATGACATGCCGAATACGACTTCAGAGAGTACCATAAGAAGATTGTCAGGATTGTTTGCCTGTTTTGGGGTTCCAGAGATCTTAGTGACCGACAATGGTACTCAGTTCATGTCATCCGCCTTCAAACGCTTCTGCAACGAGAATGGCATATTGCATCTACAATCTCCTCCATACCATCCTCAGTCGAATGGCCAGGCAGAAAGATTCGTGGATACAATTAAAAGAGCTCTGGTCAAAGGGGGAGGTGAGGGTGTCCCGGAACAAGTGATTAATAAGTTCTTGATGTCTTACAGAGTTACCCCTAATCCGGCAGTACCAGAAGGAAAGTCTCCGGCCGAGTGTATGTTCGGAAGAAAAATCCGGACAGTTTTTAACAGTATGTTGCCGCCCAGAAAGACAAATAAACCCACGAATGAAAATCGTAAGGTCAATCGTAGCTTCCAGGTGGGTGAGAAGGTACTTGTCAGATCGTACCAAGGTAATAAGAAGTGGGAACCAGGTGTCATAGAACGTCGAATCGGAAATGTGTTGTACCTAGTCCGGAAAGATGTCGGGAAATGCATAAGACATATAAATCAAATGCAAAGAAATGATAGTACAGTGGTCACAGAAAACCGGCTTCCATTTCAATTGCTCGTAGATTCATCCCCGAAGAACCATCATGAGCGCAAATATCGAAAAGACAAACGACGCAGAGAGAAAGCTGTACAACCCTCGAGAGTAATGGAGCGCAAGAGGAATGCGACACCCAAGCTTCAGGTGGATCCAAGAAAAAAATCTTACACAACGGACTTTAAAGGGGGGAGGTGTGACGACGGACCACCGGTGAACTCGAGGAAGCTGTAAGAGGCTCATAAGGAGCCGAAGACGTTCCATCCAATCACCTGTCGGAAGAATGTTCTAGAATTCCAACGTGTAGCTTCCCCATTGGATAATGCTAATAACCCTCTGTACGCGGATTGGAAGATTGTAATGATGATTTCGTTCCCACTAAAAACTATAAATACCTGATAATTTTGTACTATGTTTGACACTGTTTGGAATAATATTCCTTTCGTTAGTCTTCTGTCTTCTTATTGCGACTTGGAAGGGTTTGGTGTTCCAGTGCTCAGTTATACGCGGTTGTATCAAGAAAATCAGCTTTTTCAAGACATAACACCCTTACGATGAAAAGTACCTGCGAATTCTCACCTTCATATTCGAATTATTTTTGGACAACTGTCTTCCAGTTTGAGTGCTTCATACGCCCTGGGAGACTAGATTCCTACATTATTCGTCGTTCTAGTATAACTTTCTCACGCAGTAAGTTCAAAGTAGACACTAGTCTTTCTAAATAAGCCTGTTAAGCTAATATCCGTATTCTCTATCTCAGTAAATCGATGAAGACATGTACCACGTGTATCTGCTGTATACTGCCATCTTACTGCAATTCTAACTGTTGTATCTTAGTTCTGGAAAGTAAAGTTGCTATATGCAGCAAATACAGACTTATTTGTTTTGGTGGAGATAGGGGGGTTCATGGGATTTTTAACAGGACTGTAGTAATGTTCTCACTAAAGAGCTATGCGAGTGCGTAGACCAATATAAGGTACCATACAGGGTGCCTTTGAGTTACTGGTGTTCCATTAGTGCGGGTAGGGGCATTGCTTGCTTACCGTATGGCATCTGAATAAGGATCTATAAGATTAGACGCAGGTACGGTAAGGATGTGTAACGCGCGTCCATCCATCAGCTGCCGTGACAACTCATGGTGGTTAGAATAAGTTATGAGAGGACCCGAGTCTGTAGGTTTCCCAAGAAAATGACGAAGATATGTACTAATTCACTTAACTTTACTACATATGAACTATATGGTGAGAGGCTCGTATATCACAAGTTTCTTGCAACGATTAAGTAGATAAAACAAAGTAGCATTAGATTTAAAAATTTATTCAGGAACTTTCTTTAAGAATAGAATGTCAAACAAAAGTTTGAACGAAGTTTCCGTTTAAACGTTGCACTGGTAATGTTAAGCTGCAGATTTTGTTGTTTTTTTCCAAACGAAAGGGTAAAAGAAGTAACTCAAAAAGTAGTGGAAGTGGTTGTGAGACTTAACTGGACATCCAGCATCCTTTTTATAACCTGCCGTTAGTTGGATCTCCCGTAAACAGTCTCATAGGGCCATAGTTCTAAGGGCGAAACAGTTCTTAGGATCGGTGGAGGCTCACTCCTGTTGCATTCTAAATGAGAAAATAGTAATGAATTTAGTCAGAAATGTGGAGTAGATAAATAACCAAATTACATGTTTTTTTAGCAAAGAATTTATGCAGTTGTGATTTGCCTTGAGTTCATGAATATTAAATCAGGTCAGCTACTATTACTTGTACAAAGCATAACAAGGACTTAGTACCGTATCGCAATACTTTTATTATTTTGCTCTCATTTAAGTATTCCCATGCATCTGCGTCTAGTTCAGCAGGAAGACATACAAGCAGAGTTAGTGTTTGATAAACTAAAAGTCCCAGTTGTCAAAAAGATTCTTAAAATTTGTCCACAGCCAGCTGAATTTAATTGAGACACAGAAACTCATCTTCTAAGACTGTATGTTACTCTTCTGCAAGCTCAGACACTTAGCTATCCTGTTACCGATGTTATTGCCGGGGAAATCGTTTAATGACAGTGTTCTTGAGACATGAACAATGTTAGACATACTGTCTACAAATAAACACCAGACGTACTTAAAGCTATCTTATAATGTATGACAGCAACAGAAACAAAGGCACGTTTTTTTCCCTATTTTTAATCAGACTGATTTGAATCAGTATACTCACTAAAAACAGGCAGGACTACTTGCTGAACTGATCTGTTTTGTTACAGGCTTTAAGCACTATACTTAAGTATACTATGATTCTATCGACTAATCTAAATTATAACGGCGACCAAGAATACTAAACTAAGCAAGTGTCATAATTATTATTCCATTTGCACAGACATGTTGCTAAACGGAGTAAAATGAACATAATTCAGCCGATAAACTAAAACCACGAACTATAGGCCAGTCAAAATTACCTAACAGGAGACAAAGGAAATATATATTGCTTTCAGACTGAAGACAACAGGCAGTTGTTCATAAAAACATAGTTCACAGTACAACAAGCATTTTTTCAGTAACATCATGCACTGACGTTCTATCTGGAAACAACCAACTGTGTGAATAAACTAACTATGACTTGAGATATCATTCCGGCGTGCAATGAACGTACAGTGTAACGCAGTCAGACGTAGCGAATAAACATTAAAAAACAGAGCAAAATTAACTACACAATCTAGTTATTTAATTAAAAATACATTATGAAATGACAAAATCTGTGGTTATTTGGACGCACAGATGACCGTTATTACTCTGGGCGATACATTAAGTTTACATGGTTGCTTTGCGGATAAATTCGTTCCAGTCTGTTCTGATAAATCACCAAAGCATCTACCTTATACGTAAAGGCCTGTTTTTAAAGACTCTCAGAACCACTGAAAAGAAGCCGCAACTAAATCCATTAACTATGTTTTGAGCATGTGAGAGCACGGAAAAATTAAATTAGTCCACGTAAAGTCGAAGAAAGAGAATATTAGAAGCTGTCAAGAATCGTTAATTCCTTAAATTCTTGAAGTTATGTTAGGTTAAAAAATTGGAGTTTAGTACATAAGTGAATTAACTCACTTCAAGCTTAGCAAAAGCGTGAATATTGAAACGTTGAATCGACAAGGAGCTGCGAATTTAAATAATTTATCAATGACAACATCCCAAAAACATCGCAGTTTTGTTTCAGAACCCATTTCTGAAAAGGTTGTAGAAGAGTTACCAGGCATCGGTGAAAAACTTGGAGAAAGACTCAAAGCTAAAGGGTATGACAAAGCGTATGTCGTCCTGGGACAGTTTCTTCTTTTGAGGTGCGAAGAAGAGTTATTCAAGGAATGGCTTTCACAAACATGTGGTGCTAATTCAAAACAGTCCGGAGATTGTTACACTGCCCTTAAAGACTGGTGTAGTTGTTTCATTTTCTAAGTAGTGTACACTAAGAATATTATGTGACATTGTTATACGCATCTTATTTTCCTCTACGTACATTTTGTTAATATTTGTTTTAAAAATTTATGCATTGAAGTATCCAGTGCAATATATTGTACTAATATTTTCACCTTTAGATTTTTTAGATGAATCGCGGTAACCAAACTGATTAGTGGTTAGTATTCTTGTCATAGTGATTAACTCGTATAGCAGCCCTCATACATCAGTTAGTCCGAACTCCTAGCTTCCTGCATCAAAGTTGCCCGTTAGTGTGCATCTGCAGAGATGTTTTTGCGGGATCGTGGGCTGATCATGGAATAACGTATCTTAATGGCCTGTATGAACTAGTATAGATAAATACAGTAGTCACATATTTTGTCAAAGTGCGGAAACAGTGGGTTTTCCTTGTTACTATTAGTTTTTTAACCTTCAAGTGACGGTTTTATTGCAAACGAGTTAAGAGGATATGGTTGTGGGGTATTATATTAAAGTCAGTCGTATACAACGTAGAGCTTGACACTTGCGTAATCTCAAGTTGACACACTCTGATGGCACATGCACAAGATTATCAAAACAAATCCCAGAGTGGTAGAGGTAGGCGCAATATCAGTAGTTGTAGGAAGGATTAGTCGTAGAAAAAAAGGTATCCGGCATCAGGATTCATGTACTGAGGAAAGATAGTGAGTGCACCTGTGCTATCGCAAACGATCCTGAGTTATACAATCAAAAACGCTGACTCGCGTTTATTGCTCTAAGATTGTTTCGAATGGTTAAATGTAACTGCAGGGTAGTATGTTCTTGAACCTAAAGCAAACATGTTACTGACTATTATGGTTCTAGTTCCGTCCTAATTAAGGAGACAACTTCAATAAGCTTTTATATATTCGTTGCATCTTCGGCTTTTTAACAGTTAGTTACATGCTTGATTGTTATGTTCTGTGAACCAATTGGCTTTAAACATTCAGAAGTGTTTTCTGTCCTTTAGTTCGTCTATAAGTCTGTTGCATGTACGCAAATGACGTAAAAATTATTGTCGAATAAAGTTCAAGCAAGGAAATGCACCTTTTTTTACACTTCAGTCATGCTTTCCAATAGCATCATTAACGACATGTAAAGTAATTTCGCATCACATTTTTAAACCAACATGATTAGTGATTGCTAAAGTATTTTCAACGGAACTGCATAGAAATCTCGGGTATTCCCTGTCTTGATGTTTTAATCATGAGGTCTAGCTGTTTGGAGAAATGATGGATTTCGACTACATACAAGTGATTCAGGGTTAGATGGTCTGAGTTAGATAGGAACTTGTTCCTATCATTTGGGGGTTTCTCTACAAAGTAAAGTTTATTTATGGACTGGCCGATTATTAGCCTCTTTTTAGCACTTTTAAATAATTAGTGTAATGTAAAATAGGCTTCCAGTTGGTCATAAAAGAAAATTCTTGGGGTCGAGAATAAGAGCAGCATTATTAGGAACTTCCGAGACGGGGTTAACTGAAATAGTGTAAAGTCAAGAGGTGACATTTAAAAAAGTTATACAAGTTTAAGACAGATGGAGGATGAATACAACTAATTTTTAGTCATACGTCTCCGGACTTGGCCACAAATCGTGGATCTTTCTGCACGCTGATCAATTTTTTAACTGGTTTCTTAGCCCAGTGTGGATAAATAGTGATTCAAAACTTGATGGAACATAGGAATCCAAATATACATAGATTTATATTTTCTAGTTGGGTTGGAGAATAGGAATTAATTACACAGAAAGGGAATCCGTTGAAATGTTTATGAGCTCAAGCTAGATGGTCTCTTGTGAATTATTATTGACGGTTAGCTATCTTAAACCCATTTGTAAAATATAAAGTAGAATTAGTGTTTAGTTAACACATTGTGTGTATTGTTATACAAATGATAAGATTGTCCATATAGCTCGTAGTTAAGCTTATAATATTCGTACTGTCAGAAGAATGATCATTAATTAGCTCATCTAGTCAAGATTTCGTCGCTATTATTGATGGAGATGTGTTAACCCAAGTGCTTGAGACTAAATCAAAATCAGATCCTTTATTTGCTGTATAACTGGTAGATTATGCTAACTCGAAAAGTTTCCCTTGGTAGGTCTAATAAACAAAGAACTTAGAGGTTGTTATTTGTAGAAAGCCTAGGTTTCAAACGAACTGTGAGATTTCAGCTGAGGAAGATTTAAGACATGAATGTCATATGGATCTGTAGTAATGAGTAGTTTCACTCAAAGATGTTTCGTGAACTAAATCTCGAGTTGTTTTGGAGTCAATCGCCTATGTACTCCCTCATTAGAATTAATGTGGCGTACTGAAGGCCATGGAAACTTGGATAGAAACTAACTTGTATCTATGGACTTGATGGTATGTGAAGACTCGGTTAGTGGACGTAAGCAGAGTCTTTACATCCCGGTCATACACGTACCATAGCTAACTCCAGGGTTACTTAATGTTCAATTTTTTATTTGGAATGGTATTGTGTTAATAATTCTTAGGACGTTCTGCGCGAATTATTACGAAGAGCTTAGAAAGCTACAATACATGGTCACAAATGAATTAAAGTAGCTGTTTGTGTGATGAACTGTAACACTGGTTGTAAAGACATGCAATTTACAGACATTAGATGACAGTTTTCTCTCCAAATTTATGACCTCCTGTTGAGACATGAATATTTTGTTACGTCCCACTCGTCATGTGAAATGACGCAGTGAATAAGTTTAATTAAGTGACATATCTGTCTACAATTTTTATTTAAACTTGTACATAAATAAGCAGTTTTGTTGGCTTCTATTGGCTACTGCATGCTGTATGTACACGAGAGCATATTTATAACCGGGACTGTTGCCTTAAGATTAATAAGTTAGGGTAATTTATTCATGTTTCTATGTTTTTGTATAAATGATTTATTTACTAAACTTTGTATATCATAACTTTCTTCTGAATATACATTTGATCAGGTATGTTTCGTAATTTTTCTACATTGTTTACGAACCAAAATAACTCATGAAAGCGCATATAAATTATTTTCATAAACTGGTCGATGTAAACTGCGTCCTACAAAGTAGTAGATAAATCTTTTTTTTAATACAGTGCATTAGGTTGCATACTGGCAACTAAATATCAAATAGTTTCTTAGTGGTTGGTTTATTGGTATAATTGGAATTGGGACTTCCTTGTATTATAAGATCTATGTTAACCATAGTTACAGTTTGATTTCTGTTTATTACACACAAATCTGGTGATCAAATAATACCATTTCTGACATTTGCTTAATACAGCATGTCAAAATATCATAGGAATTAAGGATACTTGTGATGAAAATGCTAGTTGTTCGGTCAGTTTGTGACTTTAGCAGAATGGATAATATCATAATTCAAGGTCATGACTTCACATACTATTTTTTCTAAACAATAAGTTCACTTTAATTTCTATTTCGTTTCGATTCCACAAAGATGCGCACACCCAACCTTTATGAATTTATCGGTTACTATTATCTGAACGTCTTTAATACACTTGAGGTCGGTTGTTCTAGTGAGGCATTTTCTTTAAACCTGTTTATGAATGGATACGCAACTATAGGTGATGAAGGTATGCCCATCGCTATTTATTATCAACAAACCAATGGAGTAGCAATAAGCTCGCCTGCATCACCTATGGTTGCAAATCTATTCATGAATACAGCTAACGGAAATGTCTTTCTAATGCATATTTAGACCAAACGTTTGGCTAAGGTACATTGATGATACGTTTGTGGTATTAAGGTGTGACATACATCACTCATTTTTAGAGAAACTAAACAGTAAATCACCCAGCATCAAATTTACTTCAGAATGAGATCGGTGAACTTCCTTTACAGACAGTAAATCTAATCTACATATATGTTATCTTTACAGATTCATTCACTCGACAACGCGAAATTACTTCAAACAGAACTTTTATCAAGTTATTGCTTATAAGATAAGATTGTTATAGATTCTGTAGGCTTAGTAGCTAAAGCGTTTGGCTTTCAACCATTAGGTTCCAGATCCGAACCTCATTCCTTTTCTGTCTAGGCAGCCGAGTAGTACCATTAGCCCTAAAACCTGGGGCTTGGCTCACACCGACGTATCTGATATATGGGCTTTTCTTTATTATCATTTAATGTAGAAGTGTCAGCAAAAACAGTCTTGTTTTGTTCACCCATTGGAAAATACAAACTTCTAATAATAACGAAAACTATCTGAATACCTAACCAGTTTCATAAATCGTGAAATTTCGCCTCATTTGTAGGAAATTTACGTTTGACTCTGTTGATTTAGATCTTCTAAATTCGTATATACTTTTAGTTTCTACATATATTCAAATGATCGGTAAGCTACAAATGAAATGCATTTTATTTAGTGATTTTGTTATAAGATCTCAAATGTTTTTCGAAATATATCTACTAGAGAGATATTATGTAAATACAGTCATAAGTTCTATCTCCGAACGTAACACTAAATCAATAGAATCATGAAACATTTTTTTTCATATATATATAAAATAGTGGAGTGTTATGATGATTTGGCACGTTCAGCATTTGTATTAAACTAAGAACTTTTATATGTATGCTGAATTCTTACCAGTTAGTTAACAAGTAAGGTTCTAGCCTACAGATATAAAAATTATAAAGCTGGTGTAATTTGTTGTTATTGTAATGTCGGAGAGTCATTGACTAGGAAGAAATAATTTTTAGAAATCCTCCATCTTCTGTTACTTCAATAGTTGATAAAACTGATGATGTCACAGGTATTCAGTGTTTCACAACGCTTCTACCAGTAACACCTTCTAATATGTTTCGTTCCCACCAAGAGAAATCAAAAGACAGAGTCGAGGAGATCGGAAGAGTATATTTGGCGATGACCAATATACCGGGATTCTCTGATCTAATCTGGCTAGCGATTGTGGTTGATGTTGAGCACGGCGTTACTACACGTGATCTGGTGCGGATGCCTGACCGAGCGCCTTCAGCTAGATGAGTCCACTAAAACATATGGTCAGCATCCAATGTCGAAAACTTACAGAGCTATTTATTTTAGGGATTTATTTACCGCTACAGATCACTCCCCCCCTAGTGGGGCAGTGACGACCCTAAGACGTGGCCAGCCAGAAGTTTAAACCCAACGAGTTTGTCGTTGGTAAACACTCTTCTGATAGCTTACTAAATTTAGCAGCGTCTGGTCGTCTTTCCTTACTATATGGGACGGAGGTACAACATAGTAAAAAAAAGAAAATGTACAATGAAAATTTCGGATCCTCATAAACGTCATCGTTCTTTTCCAGCCGTCCTGGAAAAGAAAAAAGAAAATGTAAGTGCATGTCGAAAATACACTCGTATATGCGTAAAAACACAAGGTCGGCGGAAAAAAAATGGAAAATAAACTCATGAGCACGTAATAGCGTTAAAAAATTGTTTTTTTTGTTGTTTTTTTTAATAGAAATAAAAATATATAAGCATATTAAAATTGTTTTTTTTTTAAAAAAAAT